GGTCCGTGTATATCACGCGCATATCAAGTTTTTCTTTATATATCGATAACTACTCCCGATATTTTATTATCGATCAAAAACCTTATCGAAAGCTAGTTATTTAATTATATCTCCTACACCTTTAGAGCTAGAGCTTGCAAATTTTAAATGTAGACTTATATGTATTTTATATAATTTCGATTTTTGTTGTAATTTACCCCCCACCCCTATATCCACCCCCTCACCCTCACCTTTGTAAAAGGCGTATTTCAAGTACTAGAGACATGAGCTTTGGAATGTACATACATTTTCACCATATAATTTCGCCCTGAAACTTTCATTAAGATTGTACGCCTAGAAATTAAATTATTCAACAAATAAATTCTTATAATGATACCTACACTACAGCGTAGCCCAAGCGCAGTTAGCAGAGCGCATTCTAATACGTGTGTGTGTATGTATGTGTGTCGAAAAGAAGTGTAGAATATCAGATTGGAGGGTTCAGGGTATTTCCTAGTCGAGCAGTCTCGACTAGAGTCTTCTTACTTGTTATATATCATTTTAATCATTTATCACCTGTTAAGGTCATTCAATAAATATATTTCTAATTTCCGGGTACTTATTTGACACAAGGTATTATGTGCCCTAATATGTACCATATTATAAAGTAATGAGCATTCATAGTACTTACTCATGGAATCAGTTTGAGACATTCCCGATGAACAATCGCCGTCCACTACCAAAGCCTCATTATCGGAATCGTTGGCCGATTGTGACTGTTTCTGTTGTTGTTGGCTCCGCACACGCGTCGCACCAGGCACATAAGTCTCTTGGCCGAGTATTTGGTTGTTGGTATCTGTGCCGCCGCTGGATGTGGATGACGGCCTGCCCATGTCAATGCTGCTATCTTCTAACTCCTGTTTAATGCGCTTGGCAGCTGGGCTGCATTGTGCAACATCAACATCGTCTGCCGGAATCGTAATGCCGCCCATATTAGCATCCTAAAACAAATACAATAAAAATGTGTTTAATTTTGAATGTAACAATAAAAACGATTAGCATTTTTATGAGCAACGGAAATAAGATAACAACGAATATCGTCTCTTTATCTATACGTTTCGTTGCGGTCCACCCTAACTAACCGATCTACAAAATGTTTCATTTATAATTTATGCCAGTCCCCGTTGTTGTTCTTCTTCTCTTTCTTCGAGTTCTTCATGTTCTCGTTTCAGTTTGTGTGGCATTAAAATAATTCATGCCAAACCGAGACTTGAGTTATTGCTTCAGATTCTAGGGCCGGTCAGCCCCAAAGTAGGACGCTTTAACAGCCATGCTTCAGGAACTGGGCACTAGGGTAGCACTCAAGTAATTTGCATAGAATTTGCAAAGATTTCGACGGCCATTAAGTAGATAGGCCGCACAGTAGCTGATTTTATTTAAAGTAGGATTAAAGTTGTTTCAAGGTAACTACATAATATAATTGGACTCTGCCAGAATTCGTTTTCTAATTTAAAGAATTGTAGCCTAAAGGTCTTTCACAAGTAGATTCAATCCTTTAATAAAATAGTTAACGGTTACAATGCCTAAACATACAAAGAAATCTCTAAGTATTTATTTTCCACGTGGCTTCCTAAATAGGTCGACGACATTTAATGGCAGCCCACTTAAACCAATGGAGCATGTACTAGTGCCTACTAAGCAAAGTAAATGTCAGACCCAAATACCGTTGCAAACTTAATAAACAATCAGACATAAATGTGCTGCAATCTGTTTCAAATGAATCGTTTGGCTTTACTCTATGTCTCAATGATACCTAACCTCAGACTTGAGCATTTTCAATACTAGAAACTGAAACTTGAACTTCCCCATTGACAGCGCAGCCTGTAGTTGCTGTAGTTGCAGAAGAACGACGAAGCAGAAGAAAAAGATGGCTGCGTGCCATTAAACGCGCTTACATGCCGACTGTATGCGCTATGGTGGTATATGAACTTGAGTGCACGCCGCTGCCCCTGCCTCTGCCGCTGTTGCCGTACCCCACAGCGAGACTTTGGTTAGGAGAGCTACGAGTAGAACTAACCAAAAACGGAGAGAGAAATGAAAAGACAAAGAGGCAACAGACCATAATCAGTGTTCCATTGAACGCACAAAATCATTTAGCGAAACCAAAACGAAAAGAGTCGAACAGCACCCCACAAGCCCACCGAAGCCCACCAGAGCCCACAAGGCAGCAAGGCACAAGGCACTTGAAACTGTTTTTCAAGACTTCGAAGACAGCCAGAGCCAAGTTGGTTAAAGCAAAGTGTTTGCTTTATATGTATATATGGTCGTAGGGAACACAACACTTGGATGAATGAATATAGGCAGAAGCAGCAACGGCAGCAGCAGCAGCAGCAACAACAGATCCACTACGTATATGCCCAAAGCTGGCAGCAAGTTCAAAGCACGCTACGTAACAGACCAAGACAAGCTCAACGATGAGTTGAGTCTTGTAGCAAATTGAATTGTCGTTGTTGCTGCTGTTTCTGCTGTTGTTATTGTTGTTGTTGCATGAATCACGTGACCATGACCACCATGCAGTGCCCAAGTAAGAACAACAAAAGAGCCAGACTTAAGTCTGTCTCACTTAACCCCATCCATTCCATCACAGCTGCAGCTGTATATGGCCGAGACGCAATTTGAACTGCACTTAAAAGATCATTTACTTTCATTGAGACTGGAAAGCTTGTCGCTGCGTGTAACAAGTGTAAATTTGGTCTAATAACTGGCCATTAACAGCAAACTTGGATCATGCGTAAAAGAACAATTGAAGTGCACGATTTCTGCTTTTGATCGAAAAGAAAGTCTGACTTTCGAGCGGAAGTCTCTGCCGCTTTACGCATGTCGATCTGCATAGCTTTTATTTTTTACTTACTACAAATTTTGGTTTTAATTAAGCAATTAGCGGTTATTCTCTTTTGGTGTGTTTACTCACCTTATTTGGCTTGCGTCGTTTACGTTCATTTGCACCTGCAGCTGCCGCTGTTGTTGTTGCTGTTGGGATGGGTGAGGAGGTGGAGGGAGTCTCTTCTTTAACCTGCAGCTTCACCTCTTGGCGATCTGTGTTGAAGAGATAGGCAAATCAAATATTTTAATTAAGATTTATGCAATGAACTTCAACTGTTTATGAAGAGAGCAATGTATTATATTATTTCATCCTACTACGAGGTCTTCGATTTTAGTTTTTAAACAAATACATTTACATCAGTTACTTCTCTTGATTTATTCTAAATAATTTCAGTTTTAACTACCCACGCACTACTTACATTTCATTTCGATTTCCTCATCATCCAAAAGCAGTGAGACGACTTCTTTGGGCTTGAGGGTGTCGGGTTTGAAATTGCCGCCACTTATAACCATGCGTTGTATCTGAAAATAATCAAATATAATTATATAGAAATAATATGCATAAGTATGCCGAAAATATAAAAAGAGCAGCGCCCCAGGAAATGAAATGAAACGCGTAAAAATTGAGTAGCGCCTAGGACTGCGCTGAGACTTACTTAGCTTCCGTTCTGGCGGCCTAAGCACTTTAATATGATAATCAGGAGCGGAGCAATTAAACTAATAAATGCAGAGCTCAAGAAAAGAATAGAGAGAAATGAAGAAAAACATACCCTGAATGGGTTGCTTCTATAGAGAATTTAAAGGCGTAACCGAAATGTCGCCTAACCAATTGTATAATTAATTTCCGGTATCGGTTTACCCGAGCCTTTATAGCTGCCCCAACAATGCACATCGTGTACAAGTGTTTCATGCGTGCGGCTCGAGTTTCATTCAAACATTTTGAATAAGGCGCAACAATGCCCCATGCAACATCAAATCAGGCAGGGGGAAGTCCGCGCACGTGCCTAATATATGACAGACGTAAGAAGAAACTCCAAGCGGTTGCTTTTTGTTTGAATTTCTGAATAGGGTTTTGCGGTTTCCTGGGCCCTAGTGGTTTTCTTACCTCGCTCTTTTCGCGTGCCCGCTGCAGAATTCGCTCCTCGATGGTGCCTTTGCAGATGAGCCGATAGACTGTCACCTGTTTGGTCTGGCCCAAGCGATGGGCTCGATCCATGGCCTGCTGGTCAACGGTGGGATTCCAATCTGAATCGTAGAAGATAACCTGCAAGGCAGAGAAGTAAAATTAATACATATAATAATAATAATAACAATAATAAAAAAAAAAGAACAAAAAAAGTAATATTAATAATGCAAGAGTACTTCATAGCTAAATAACATAGCTTTAGCTTTAGCTAAAATAACATAAATGCTATATATTATAATCATATACTTTAATATGCTTTGAAATAATATCTTCTCGATCGATATACATCAATGCTTATCTAATGAATATGCAAATGAGTAATCAACACGAACATCCTTTCGCTATCCTTTTGATATGCCACAGTTGTCTGCGTTGCATATTAATTTCTTCCAAGTCTATTCAATAATCCACGAATTCGAGACCTTTCCTGCTTTCGGCTATCTTCTATGAGTAGGAGACTACGCCTTACATTCGACGTGCGCAGAGTGCAAGTGTGCAGCAGCTAGACCAAAGGGGTTGCTTTTCAGATCCAACATCCGGCAGTGAAAGAACTAATTGAATATATTGAACTGAATTTACATCACGTGTTGTGTGCTCTAAAATTTCAGATACAGACTTTTCTCCTGTCCAATTTTCATTTCCGCTTTATAGATAGTGTCTGGCTTTCTGAATAGCTGGCACTTGAATCCGTTTATTTAGGAACTGCAGCAATGCATTCATTAAATAAACTACTTTACAAATGTCCTGATTCGCTGAGCTGATAGAGCTCCACGGAATAATTAGCTAAGCATGGTTAAGTCAACGATTGGAAATTAGTGTGTTACTATTACTGTAAAACTGTTTCTGCGGTTTATTTAACGTAGATAATAGCTTAATTAGGTACCCGATAAGAATTGCCGTTGAACAGGTATAAATGGTGCTTACATTATGCATTCGACTCGGTAGAAATTCTACAACGATGACACACTACGGAGTCGGAGTAATTCTTACACTGTTGGCAATAGGCTTTAGCCAGGCTAATGGAAACATATTCGAGCGGACATTCAAGAAACTTCACGAGGAACCTTATGTTCCGACGAACCAAAATAGAGCCGACGAGGTGCAAACGTTGTGGATCGAACAGAAGCTGGACCACTTTAATGACTCTGAGACTCGAACTTGGCAAATGGTATGAGTCAAGTATTATGTAATAATCAATTGAGTTACTTTAATCATATGATCTCTTTTTCAGCGATATATGTTAAACGATGTGTTTTTCAAAGCTGGTGGTCCCATGTTTATATACCTGGGTGGAGAGTGGGCAATTAGCAAGGGTCGCATTTCAGAAGGTCACATGTACGACATGGCCAAGGAGCACAATGGACTTCTAGCCTATACTGAACATCGATATTACGGAGAAAGCCATCCATTGCCGTGAGTGTTAATCGAGCAGAGACTCTGTTCATTTGTATGAGAATCTTAATGTTTTTTAGAGATTTGTCCAATGAGAACCTTCGATACCTGCATGTGAAACAAGCTTTGGCTGATTTGGCGCATTTTATAACCACACAAAAGGCTTCGTATGAGGGCTTGAGTGATTCCAAAGTTATAATTGTGGGTGGCTCCTACTCTGCTACGATGGTTACTTGGTTCAAGAGAACTTATCCCGATCTGGTTGCTGGCGGCTGGGCATCCAGTGCCCCTCTCTTTACCAAAGTCGACTTTGTTGGTAAGTGTGTGGACCTGTTGAGTCTCTCATAAAGAATACAAACCTTTATATTTTGTAGAGTACAAAGAAATCGTTGGAGAGTCCATAGCTTTAATGGGTGGATCAGACTGTTACAACCGTATTCAGAATGGTATTGCGGAGATGGAAGCAATGTTTGCCAATAAACATGGCAGTGAGGTAAAGGCTCTATTAAAGCTCTGCGAACCGTTTGATGTGTACAGCGATTTGGACGTTTGGAATCTTTTCAGTGAAATATCTGATATATTTTCCAGCGTGGTACAGACACATAAGTATGCAAAAAATAGTTATGTATTACTTTGATTAATAGTAATTAATTAAATTATTTTTTAATAGCGCGGGACAAATCGAGAGAGCTTGCCGAAAGATCATGGCCGAAGGTTCGGATCTTGTTGGACTTAGCAAATTTTTATTGAGTGAATTTGAAGACAGTCATTCTAAATGCAACAACATCAGCTACAATTTCACAATTGACACTCTCTCAAACACAAGATATTCAGGTTCAATTAGTAAGCTTCTGAGCTTCACAATTGAAAATGTGTTTTTTAACAAGAGCTTAACATATAACAGTGCGTCAATGGATATACCAGACATGTAACGAGTACGGCTGGTATCAAACCTCAGGTTCCGCCTCTCAACCATTTGGCACCAAATTTCCGGTAACTTTTTACACGACCATGTGCGCTGATCTCTATGGCTCCCAGTTCAGTAAATCTTTTATCGAAGACCGTGCGGCTGAGACAAACGAATACTTTGGGGGTCTTACACCGAAAGTGGAGAATGTGTACTTCAGCTATGGAGAGTTAGATCCCTGGCGTGCAATGGGCATACAGGACAAGAAGCAGGCTACCACTATACCAAGTGAGCTACCTAAATAAAATCATAAAAATGTAATTTTTAATGAAAAAATATTTTTTTTTTTTTTCACAGAGTATGCGCATTGCATGGACTTCAATTCGATCAATCCAACTGATACCGCCGAAATGAGAGCCTCAAAAGAACGAGTTGCCGAACTGGTCCGTGAATGGATAAAATAGAATTTGCTTTTTGTCTTTATAACCATAAATGGTCTCCTAATATATAAATATTAGCAGAACATGAAATGAATTTCTTTTGTTTAAACAATTGTTATGTATTTAAGCAATATAAGCAAAAATATAAATTCAAATTCAACTTTTAAAACATCAATATTATCGATTCCAATTAACTGATTGTGGTGGTAATAATCATTATTGAGAACGTCAAATATACTTAACCTTATTAATAACAATTATATTATTTATTATAAGGTAGCAAAATCTGATCAAATGAAGAGAAGAAGAAACAATGATAAGGCTACATGGTTTTCACTGCAATATGACTTGAAGCCAACGATTGAAAAATAGTTGTGCTAGTATTTCTTATGATTTCTCGTAGATAATGTTCCAATAAAATGCTAGATAAGAACTGCCGTTTAACTAAGCAACAGGTATTAGCAGAATGGAACCTTTGCCTCAGTAAAAGTCAAATCTACCACGATGACACACTACGGAGTCGGAGTAATTATTACGCTGTTGGCATTGGGCTTTAGCCAGGCTAATGGAAACATATTCGAGCGGACATTCAAGAAACTTCACGAGGAACCTTATGTTCCGACGAACCAAAATAGAGCCGACGAGGTGCAAACGTTGTGGATCGAACAGAAGCTGGACCACTTTAATGACTCTGAGACTCGAACTTGGCAAATGGTATGAGTCAAGTATTATGTAATAATCAATTGTGTTCCATTAATCATATATTCTGACATTCAGCGCTACTTGTTGAACGATGTGTTTTTCAAAGCCGGTGGTCCCATGTTTATATACCTGGGTGGAGAGTGGGCGATTAGCAAGGGTCGCATTTCAGAAGGTCACATGTACGACATGGCCAAGGAGCACAATGGACTTCTAGCCTATACTGAACATCGATACTACGGAGAAAGCCATCCATTGCCGTGAGTGTTAATAGTGTTTGGTATCTATTCCTTTTTATGTGAATCTCAATTTCTTTAGAGATTTGTCCAACGATAGCCTTCAGTTTCTGCATGTGAAACAAGCTTTGGCCGATTTGGCGCATTTTATAAAAACTCAGAAGGCTTCGTATAAAGGTTTGAGTGATTCCAAAGTCATAATTGTGGGTGGCTCCTACTCTGCTGCGATGGTTACTTGGTTCAAGAGAACTTATCCCGATCTGGTTGCTGGCGGCTGGGCATCCAGTGCCCCTCTCTTTGCCAAAGTCGACTTTGTTGGTAAGTGTGGACCTGTTGAGTCTCTTATAAAGCATAAAAATCTTGTTGTTTTTGGTCAGAGTACAAAGAGATTGCTGGACAGTCCATAGTTTTAATGGGTGGCTCTGACTGTTACAACCGTATTCAGAAGGGTATTGCGGAGATGGAAGCAATGTTTGCCAATAAACGTGGCAGTGAGGTAAAGGCTCTATTAAAGCTCTGCGAACCGTTCGATGTGTACAGCGATTTGGACGTTTGGAATCTTTTCAGTGAAATATCTGATATATTTTCCGGCGTAGTACAGACACATAAGTATGCATAAAATGGTTATATATTACTTTTATTTAAGATAATTAATTAATATATGTTTTTAATAGCACGGGACAAATTGAGGGAGTTTGCCAAAAGATCATGGCCGAAGGTTCCGATCTTGTTGGGCTAAGTAAATTTTTACTAAGTGAATTTGGAGAGAGCACTTCTAAGTGTAATGACCTCAGCTACAATGCAATGATTGATACACTCTCAGACACAAGATATTCCGGCTCAGTTAGTAAGAGTTTCTGAATTTCACAATTGAAAATTTGTTTTCTAATATGGGCTTAACATATTACAGGACGTCAATGGCTATTTCAGACATGTAACGAGTACGGCTGGTATCAAACCTCAGGTTCCGCCTCTCAACCATTTGGTACAAAATTTCCGGTAACTTTTTACACGACCATGTGCGCTGATCTCTATGGCCCCCAGTTCAGTAAATCTTTTATCGAGGCCCGTGCGGCTGAGACAAACGAATACTTTGGTGGACTTACGCCCAAAGTGGAGAATGTATACTTCAGTCATGGACAGTTGGATCCCTGGCGTGCAATGGGAATACAGGACGAGAAGCAGGCCACCATTATACCAAGTGAGCTATTTTATGAGAGTCTAATGAAAAATGACTAAAGTGATTATAAATTTACAGAACATGCGCATTGCGCGGACTTGGGATCGATTAGTATTGATGATACCGCCGAAATGAGAGCCTCAAAAGAACGAGTAGCTGAACTGGTTCGCGAATGGCTTTAATAAAGTTTACATATCATATTTTTAGTAATGTAGTTTTAGTAAAATATGAAATGAATGTCCTTTACTTAAACAACTACTATGTATTTAAACAATATTAGCGATAATATAATTATTGCTTTGAAACATCAATTTCAATGTATTATCGATTCCAATTAACTAATTGTGCTGTCAATAATCAGTAATATGAAAGTCAAACATACTTAGCCTTATCAATAACAATTATACTATTTATAAGGTAGCAAAATCTGATCAAATGAAGAGAAGAAGAAACAAAGCACACTTGCCATCGACTGAAAATGTAGTGCCTAGTCGAACTGATAAGGCTACATGGTATTCACTACAATATGATTCTAAACCAACGATTGAAAAATAGTTGTGCTAGTATTTCTTATGATTTCTCGTAGATAATGTTCTAACAAAATGCTAGATAAGAATTGCCGTTTAACTAAGCAACAGGTATTAGCAGAATGCGAATGGAACCTTTGCCTCAGTAGAAGTCAAATCTACCACGATGACACACTACGGAGTCGGAGTAATTATTACGCTGTTGGCATTGGGCTTTAGCCAGGCTAATGGAAACATATTCGAGCGGACATTCAAGAAACTTCACGAGGAACCTTATGTTCCGACGAACCAAAATAGAGCCGACGAGGTGCAAACGTTGTGGATCGAACAGAAGCTGGACCACTTTAATGACTCTGAGACTCGAACTTGGCAAATGGTATGAGTCAAGTATTATATAATAATCAATTGTGTTCCATTAATCATATATTCTGACATTCAGCGCTACTTGTTGAACGATGTGTTTTTCAAAGCCGGTGGTCCCATGTTTATATACCTTGGTGGAGAGTGGACAATTAGCAATGGATTTATTACAGCGGGTCACATGTACGACATGGCCAAGGAGCACAATGGACTTCTAGCATATACTGAGCATCGATATTACGGAGAAAGCCACCCATTACCGTGAGTGTTAATAGAGCAGAGACTATGTTTATTATGCGAATCTAAATGTTTTTTTTTAGAGATTTGTCCAACGAGAACCTTCGATTCCTGCATGTAAAACAAGCTTTGGCCGATTTGGCGCATTTTATAAAAACGCAGAAGGCTTCGTATGAGGGCTTGAGTGATTCCAAAGTTATAATTGTGGGTGGCTCTTACTCTGCTACGATGGTTACTTGGTTCAAGAGAACATATCCCGATCTGGTTGTTGGCGGCTGGGCATCCAGTGCCCCCGTCGTTGCTAAAGTGAACTTTTTTGGTATGTTGTAGTCTCTGAAAGTGCTTTAACGGATTAGCATTTCTCTTTCTGAATTTTTAGAATACAAAGAGGTAATGGGCGAGTCAATAACTTTAATGGGTGGCTCTGCTTGTTACGACCGTATTGAGAAGGGAATTGCTGAGCTGGAAACGATGTTTGCCAACAAACGCGGCGCCGAGGTCAAGGCTTTGCTGAAGCTCTGTGAACCTTTCGATGTGAACAATGATTTGGACATATGGACGCTGTTTAACGAGATTTCCGAAATATTTGCCAACGTTGTACAGACCCACAAGTCAGTTAATGACAAGTTTAAATGGAAAGAACTGCACTAATAGTTATCTATATTATAGTTCTGGACGTATTGAAGGTGTCTGCCAGCAAATAATGACTGGAAGCACTGATCTTATTGGAGTAAGCAGCTATCTTCTCAGTGAATTCGGAAAAGCGAGTGGCAGCACTTGTATGCCATCATGAAAGTACTATTGGATACAAGGTACAACGGCAATATGAGTAAGTGATTTGCTTCAATGCGACTTCTAGAATCTAATTATTTCCGATTTACATGTTGCAGTGCGTCAGTGGATATACCAGACATGTAACGAGTACGGCTGGTATCAGACATCCAGTTCCAGCATGCAACCATTTGGCACTAAATTTCCCTTAGCTCTGTTTACAACCATGTGTGCTGATCTCTATGGTCCCCAGTTCGGTGAGTCATTTATCGAGGACCGTGCGGCTGAGACAAACGAATACTTTGGGGGTCTTACGCCGGAAGTAGAGAATGTGTACTTCAGCCATGGACAGTTGGATCCCTGGCGTGCAATGGGCATACAGGACGAGAAGCAGGCCACCATCATACCAGGTGGACTAACTTATAAGAGTCTAATGAAAAGTTACTATAGTGATTCTAAATTTACAGAACATGCGCACTGCAAGGACTTTGGATCGATTAGTAATGATGATACCCCGGAAATGCGAGCCTCAAAAGAACGAGTAGCTGAACTGGTCCGCGAATGGCTAGAATAATATTGTTCAATCAGTCGGACTATAATAATATAAAAGTAGTAGCGTTTGCTATAAATGTGTGTAATATTTGCAATAAAAAATTGTATAGAATTACAGCTCTAAGAATTGCTATTTTACTAAATGGGACTACTAGGTCGTGGCTATGGTTTTGCTATGTTACGCATATACGAACAACTAATGCAATCTATGTTAAACTATAGACACATTTATAAAAAGCAATGGAAATCATAAATTTGCGAAAAGATTCAGGTTACTGAAAATCCCGTCTAATCACAATACTCAAATGAAATACCATTTCGTACTCTTATCAGCTGTACAGTTATATCTTGATCGAAAATCAATAAAAACGAAACTACAATTTGATTGCATAAAAGTAGAACGTTGGTCAGTTAGGAATTTCATTTGGCAACATGCTGCTCCTACAGTTGGTCAGCCTTGCGTTGGTGGCTCTGGCCAGTCAGGCAATTAGCCTCGAGTTGAAGAAAGATGTGCCCGTATTCGTTAAAACCTTGAAAGATATGCAACGCGGTCCACCCTTGAAGATGGTTAAACGAGAATTGAAGGGGGAAGAAAAATGGATTACACAACCACTTGATCAATTCGATGAAACCAATAAGGAAACCTACGAAATGGTTAGTGGAAAATATAATATATATGTATATATATGTATGTATATATGATGATTTGTCTCTGGTTTAGCGTTATTTTATCAATGACGAATTCCAAACGGAAGGCAGCCCAATATTCATATTTTTGGGCGGCGAATGGGAGGCCTCTTTGAATATGATAAACGATGGTTATTGGTATGACTTGGCCAAGGAGCACAAAGGTGTCCTCATCTATACTGAGCATCGTTACTACGGGGCAAGTGTGCCCACTAAGTAAGTATAATTTTAATATATTACATAATCATATAATAATCTTATAATCATAGGACAATGTCGCTGGAAGACTTGAAGTATTTGCATGTCAAACAGGCGCTCGCCGATGTGGCCAATTTCATTAAAACCTTCAAGTCGGAGAATGCACAGCTAAGCAATTCGAAGGTCGTGCTGTCCGGCTGCTCCTACTCAGCCACAATGGCAGTTTGGTTCAAGCGGCTCTATCCCGATTTGGTGGTTGGTGCCTGGGCTTCCAGTGCGCCGCTATTCGCCAAGGTTGACTTCTACGAGTACAAGGAGGTAGTCGGAAAAGCGTTTCGTGAGCTGGGAGGAGAGAAATGCTACAATCGTATAGAGAAGGGCATAGCCGAACTGGAGTCCATGTTTAAGAACAAGCGCGCGGCTGAAGCACGTGCCATGCTGCGTATTTGCAGCAATTTTGATCATGAAAACGATCTGGATTTGTGGAGCTTGTTCGGCAGCATTTCCAATGTTTTCTCTAGCTTAGCCCAGTATCAAGGGTAAGCGAATCATATAATAGGATATATTCAGGTCTTATATACCATTTTATGTAGAGCGGGAGACCTTGAGTATTATTGCGATTTTATCATGAGCTTTAACGATGATGCCACAGCCATTGCCAATTTCGTTTATTGGGCCTGGAATTATCCAACCTGCGTTGATGCACGCTACCAAGAAACCGTTGACTATTATCTGGACGCAATTACCAAATTTGACGCGTGTAAGTTATTTATTTGCTATTCGATATGCTTTCACTGATTAGATCTTTTTGTGCTATTTGATAGCTCGACCCTGGTATTATCAGACCTGTAACGAGTATGGTTGGTATCAGACGTCGCGTTCTTCTAATCAGCCGTTTGGCAGCAGTTTTCCCGCTACTCTCTACGTTGAATTGTGCAAAGATATCTTTGGCACCAAGTTCGGAAACGACCAGATTGAAAAAAATACCGCCCAGACCAATGAGGATTTTGGCGGCTTGGAACCAAACGTTGAGAACGTCTATATGACACACGGAGGTCTGGATCCATGGAGTGCCATTGGTCTTGGCGCGTCAGAGGGCGCTACGGTTATTTCCAAGATGTCGCACTGTCCTGACCAAAATTCAATCCGCTCCACCGATAGCGCCGAACTGCTCGCTTCCAAAAATCGTATTGCTGAATTATTGCGTCAATGGTTAGCTTAACTTTAAGTACTACCAATTATTTGCCACGAAATTAAAAATATGCAAATACATACTACTAATGTATATTAATGAACTATATTGCTTAAATAAACAAGTTCGTACTAGTAGTGGAATACTGGTATATTAAAGGCAAATATTTTGGAAGGAAGGTAATCAAAAATTTGCTTAAAGCTGACATTGTCACTAAAACAAAATGTTAATAGTTATGGCGTTAGGCTCTATACTACATCAGGCTGTACGCTTAATATGTGAACGGGCTTGTATTATAATTGTAAATTTGATTAACAAACTTTAAGTCCATTTGCACAGCATACTTTCAGAATAGTCTTTAGTATAAAGTAATCAGCTCTGTAAAGTGATACCCCAATACTAAGAACTGCTCACACTATAGGCTACAAAATGTGACAGAAATCAGTCCATTAATAATGAAGATATTCTGAAAATATACAGTCACGTCTAATCAAACTAGTTTGGATGCAACGTTAATATTTACTGTTTGGATTATTAATATGCGACCTATTTAAACAATAATATATAAAATATCCCAATAAATTGTATTGCTTATTTTTAAATGACGTAAAATTATTTTGATCACGTATATGAGAATCATCGAATAAAATATACATAGTTATTAAAGATGTTTTTGAGTAACGGATCTTATACAATGTATTTCAAAATGCTATGTTATCAACACTAAAATTAGATATAGCCATTGCTGATGTACAATATACGATATTGGTACACAGACCTAACAGAGAGAGGAAAATATCTCGAATCTGTAGAAGAGCTACCAACATTTATCATATATCATATAGTTTGTATATTTTTAGTATTCGGAATAGATATGTATTCCTATACATCACGTTGAAGAAAATATTCACAGTAAAATAAATTGTCGTAATATACAATTATCACTATGAGCTATATATGTATATCATAGCAATGATTAAATCAATCAATTACGAAATCGCCATAATCCATACAATAAAGATAGGAAGCGACAAGGATGAGACAACTAAAGCATTTTTGGTAACGTTGTCCAACGTGACCCACACGCTACTTAAGCCTATCAGTTACATATAAATGGGGCTTACGATTAAGCTATGGGCAAATATTTACTTTTCTAGTAACACATATATTTACTGGTACCCTGGCAAAAGAACTTTTTGAATAAATAGGCCATGTATTGGGGTAGGAAAGCATTCGTAAGTTTGCAACCTATGTAACAAGATGAAGTACTTTCCAGTAGTTCTGGCACTGCTAGTATCCCTAGTATCTGCAGCAACTCTCAAGAACTCTCCAGGCTCAAATCAAATATCAATTCCAGCATTTCTTCAAACACTCAACCAGCTTCACCGTGGGCCACCATTGCCGCCAAGCACCAAGCGTGCAAATGTGGAGACTCGATGGTTCAATCAGAGCCTGGACAACTTTGACGACACTAACAAGAACGTGTGGGACCAAGTGAGTTCGGTAGTTCCTTAAAGGAATTCAATCTTGTCTAACTTATCTTCTTCAGCGTGTTTTGATCAACGAAGACAACTTTGTAGATGGTTCACCCATTTTTATATACCTGGGCGGTGAATGGGCAATTGATCCGAGCGCCATCACATCAGGACTGTGGGTTGACATCGCAAAGGAGCACAACGGGTCGCTGGTCTACACTGAACATCGATTCTTCGGCGAGAGCATTCCAATTACGTAAGCTTAAAATCCCTGACTTGCAAAGTCTTCTGATTCATTTATATAAAATTCACCTATTTTCCCATTAGGCCCCTGTCAACCAAGAACCTTAAATACCAAAGCGTGGAGCAAGCTTTGGCCGATGTGGTGAATGTTATCAAGGTGCTCAAAGAAGAGGACAAGTACAAGGAGTCTAAGGTTGTTATTTCAGGCTGCTCCTACTCTGCATCCATGGCAGTTTGGTTTAAGCTGTTGTACCCCGACGTAATCGTCGGCAGTTGGGCCTCAAGTGCTCCGCTAGATGCGATAGTGGATTTTTCAGATTTCATGGAAATTGTTGGTAGAGCCTACAGGCAACTGGGAGGAGACTATTGCTACGACCTCATCGATAATGCGACATCTTACTATGAGGATCTGTTTCAGACTGGTCAGGGAGCTAGGGCCAAGGAACTCCTCAATTTGTGCGACAGTTTCGACGAGAATAATGAAAGGGATCAGTGGCAAATATTTAGCTCGATTGCAAACATATTTGCAGGCATAGCGCAGTACCAAAAGTAACTATGGCACAAGAAACATCTTTCTTTCTTCTTCTTCAATATGATTTTGTTTCCCTGTAGACCAGAAAACTATGATTTGGCCCAATATTGCTCTGTTCTACGAAGCTTTGATGATGATGATGCTTCAGCACTATCTCAGTTCGTACAGTGGCGTCTAGGGAAACCAGAATGTGTTAATACTCGATATCAGGGAACTGTTGATTATTACAAATGGTCCAAAAATAACTACGATGGTTGTGAGTAAAACCTCAATAGACACTGTTAGTTAGTTAAATATAAGCCTTATTCTTTCCTTCTTAGCTGGCCTCGGTTGGTTCTACCAAACATGCAGACAATTTGGTTGGTTCCAATCCTCTGCAAACAAGAATCACCCATTCGGATCTACTTTCCCGGCAACTCTGTATACCGATACGTGTCACGACGTATTCGGATCCCAATACACCTCAGCGAAAATTGAAGAATATATTCAGGCTACAAATAAGAAGTATGGTGGAAAGCATCCAGCAGTGGAGAATGTTTATATGACTCATGGTGGTTTGGATGGATGGAGCCGCGTTGGCTCTGATTCCGCTATAATTATTCCGCAAGCCTCACACTGCTCCGATTCTGGCTCAATCAATCCCACAGACAGTGCAGCATTGCGAGCAACCAAGGAACGATTGATTGAACTAGTTCGCGAGTGGCTTGCATAAACTTCGATGCATTTATTAACTTTACTTTATTTTATTATAGCACGTTGTAGTCCTATTAATAAAACTCTTTTTA